GAGACGTAGGCATGTAGATGACGCGACGTTGGCCGACGCTGGGGCCTCGCTGAAAGAGGCGAGACGGGCCCTACGCGTGGCCATACGGAAGGCCAAGCGCTGGGCGGACCTGGTGGCAGAGTTGGATTCCGATCCGTGGGGGCTTCCATACAAGGTAGTAATGCGCAAGACGCATCCTTTGATGCCCCCACTGACGAAGAGGATGGATTCCCGGTTCCTCGAGAGTGTGGTGGGCGCGTTGTTGCCCGTACGGAATGCGGGCATGCGCCTTCCCTCTGGACCGCCGGCGGGGTGGTCAGGGGAGCTAGGGGTCCATGATGAGGAGTTTGATCGGGTCTGCCGCCACTTGAGATGCAGCCCGAAAGCCCCAGTCCGGATGGCCTGCACGGCCGCGTTTGGGTTTTGGCCTTCGACGGGGTCCGCAATCGCCTGAGGTACCTGTTCAACAGTTGCCTCGAGCAGGGACATTTTCCCCTGGTCTGGAAGAGGGCCAACTTGGTCCTCCTCTGTAAGGAGAACAGACCGGCACCGCGGCGGAGTCTCCCTCCGCTTACCGTCCTATCCTGTCTGCTGGACGATGCCAGTAAGATGCTGTAGCTCATCATCGCTCAGCGCATTGTCCACCACCTGTGCCGGGTGGGCCCCGATCTACATCCGGGGCAATACGGATTCCGTGAGGGGCGCTCGACGGTCGGAGCCATCCGGCATGTTCGGCACTCCCGGGGTCCGTGGTAAGGGAGGGGGGTGGCCTTGGCAGTGTCAATTGACATCGTCAACGCATTTAACACCCTCTCCTGGGATCAGGTGGTACGGGCGCTTGCCTATCATGGCTTGCCCGACTACCTGGTTCACATTGTGAAGGATTATGTCCGGCCCAGGAAAATAGTGTATAGAGACAGGGACGGTAAGGTACACGGGAGGGAGTTGTCATGCGGTGTCCGCAGGGATCGGTGCTCGGTCCCCTGTTATGGGACATCGCGTACGACACGGTACTCCGCCGGGCCCTCCCGCTGGGGTGTCATATGGTGTGTTTCGCCGATGATACCCTTGTTGTCGCGAAGCGAGGGGGGCGGGACAGGGGGGAGGCGACCGCGAAGGCGTCGCAATGAGTCAGGTGATCGGCTTCGTGAGGAAGCTCGGCCTGGAGGTGGCACCCCAGAAGACTCAAGCAGTCCTCTTCTACGACAGGAAGAGGGGATCGCCGCTTCCGGCCGAGATTCAGGTGGGAACTACTTCGATCCGTGTGGGGCTCCAGATGAAATATCTGGGCTTCACAATTGACGGCCTCTGGGAGTTTGGCGCTCATTTTGAGCAGCTGACTCCCAGGTTGGGTAGGTTGACTGATGCCCTCGCGGGCATCATGCCCAACCTCCACGGCCCTGGTGTGGCAGCGCGGCGGGGATATATGCATGCCGTCCTGGCGGCGCTCCTATACGGTGTCCCTGTATGGGACAATGAGGTTACTAAAAGCGCCCGGCTCCGGAGGAGCCTATACCGGGTGCAGCGCCGCCTTGCTCTCCGTTTATCGTGGGCATATAGGACGGTATCGCATGCCGTCGCGAAGGTCCACGCGGGGATACCTCCGGCCGACCTCCTAGCGGAGGGTCGTGCGGAAGTTTACCGTTGGCTGGAGG